CCTTTGGCTTTTTATTCTTTTTCTTGAGACACACGCTACTCGCGTATTTTCGTTGATGCTTATCAATGCATCTCTCTTTTACTCTTTTCTTGATATTCTGTTTTTTCTTTTAATTACTCTCTTAATATCTCGACAAGTGTGAATCAGTATTCAAAATAAATAATATCGGCGACATAGAGTGTAACGCTTTGCTTGAATGTAGTTTTACACTAGACAAAATTTTGAAAAAGTCTAAACGTGATACAATTAATTCGTGATATTTGCATAAAAATGTAGACCAATGATTAAAGGTGAGCAAATAGATTTTATATAATACATATTTTTTTTGTCATTCTCAATCATATTATAGGGACAGAAAAGACGAAAAATCGATAATGTCAAATATCATCATAATTTATGCCTGTTATGGAGCAGTGAGGTGAGTATGACTAGCTTGCACGATCCAATAAGTATGCATTACTGAGAATGTGGATGTTTATGACATAGATTTTTGCTTTAACAATCAAATTTAAATTACAAGACTGTCTAAAAAATAGAATCTAAATTATACATGTTATGAAACATCAGTAAACACATAAATGATAATGTCTATATCAATGCAAAAAAAGTATCAAGACTAAATACTACATCACTGAATTTTCTGTAGAAGTCGCAAAATGGTTGTAAATTATTCATTGTTTATAAATCAGTACGGATGACATTTTTGCTTGATCATATTTCTGAACATTTTTCAAAAAAGACAACATCTCTCAGAGAAATTCCAACAAAATATTGAATAATACGAAAATATGATAGCTTTTAGATTTTGTTATAGTGCACGGGTATAGTAAGTGAAGAATGTCTTTATTTGTTTTGAAAAATACAATTTATTGCCACTCTGTTTACTCTAAAATCTGAAAAACGCATACTACATACGAGAAAATATACGAATGAATTAATATCTCATATGCTAGGAAACTCCGGTTTAATTATAATACTCAGCATTTAGAATAATAAGTTACTATCATCTAATCTTACTAGATTTCAATTTCAACTGATGTGAAACATTGAACACCCGTGTGTCTTGATAGAGCTTGCATTTTAACAAAAATATCTTGATTGAAAACGTAGTCTTAGATAGAAAAAAGAAATATAATTAATCTAAAAAGGTGAACAGTAAGTTTCGGATGTAGGAACTATTTGACCTTATTTGTAAACATCTATATATTTAAGCTTACACACATGAAATTACATGTTTATTTCACATATCTTCATTCTATCATCTACACCACAAACGACAAATACAATATCACAATTGATTAGTCAAAAGGCATTTATTAAATATTATTGCTTAATATAAATACTTTCGTTAATCATTTATTAGTTAAAATATTGCGAAATGTTATATCTTGTTACAGTCATCATCCTTGGCATTATTTCGTATATCATCTACAAGAAGCACAGTAAATCATCGAAGTTTTCTTCCACTGTTTCTCAGTACGATCATGCCATAGTTCTTGGAGGAAGTATTGGAGGAATGGCTACTGCAGCTTATTTATCTAAATACTTTAAACGAATAACAATTATTAAATCAGATGATGTATTAAATGATATATTCATGAAGTCTACCCCTAGCGAAATATTAGATTATTGTTATCGTCTTGAAAGTCCAACGTCATTGGGACGTTCAGGTGTTAGTCAAATATATCAATTGCATGGGCTTCAAGGTGAAGGTTATAAAATATTACTGGAATTATTTCCTCGATTAAAGGATAAGTTATTCAATGAATATGGTATTCGGACATATTCATTGAAAACCGGATTAAGACTCGCGGCTAGTGATATAATTTTAAATCAAGATTTAACTGAAGATTTTGATTGGTTAGGAGTTGATCGTTTTACATTAGAAATAGTTTTGAGAAGAGAATTTTGCTTGAAATTCAATAATCAAGTTGAATGGAAATGTAATAGCAGAGTAACAGAATTAATTATTGATCAATCATTAAATATTGTTAAAGGTGTAAAATATCGACCGAAGAAAAATACTGGTTCACCATCATTGGAGATATAAGGTGATTTTATTATTGATTGTACTGGTCACAATACATCATCACCTAAATGGTTAAAAGAGAAATTCAATTTAATTGTACCTACTATACAAATACATTATGGCTGTGGGTATGTTACATTTATTGGTGAAAGATTTCGAACTGGTGATCCATCGCTTGATTCAGTAGCTGTGATTGGTAGCTCAGTTAATTCTCCTGAGAACAACTTTGGTTTTATTATAACACCAATACGTACCATAGATACAACTGATCATGATTCATTAGGAATACTAGCAACACTTGCTATAAACTGTGTTAATGCAGAATATCCGCCAAATGGTTCATATGAAAATTTATTAGAATGGGCGAAAGAAAATCTAGATCAAGAATATTATGCAGTTTTAAAATCCATAAAATTATGTAGTGGGTGTGGGTG